TATTTATTTATTTATTTATTTATTGGAAAGGCAGATTTACAAAGAAAAGGACAGAGAAAAAGATCTTCCATCTGCTGGTTCACTCCCCAAATAGCTGCAATGGCCGCAGCTGAGCTTATTTGATTCCAGGAGCCAGGAGGCAGGAGCTTCTCCCAGGTCTCCCATGCGGGTGCAGGGTCCCAAACCGTCTGTGACTGCTTTCCCAGGCCACAAGCTGGATGGGAAATGGAGCAGCCTGGACACGAATTGCACCCATACAGGATCCCAGTGCCAACGGTATAAGCTTAGCCTACTATACCAGTGCTAGTTCCATGCCATTTCTCTCTCTCTCTCTTTCCTTAACATAAACATTGATGAAGTAAAATTCATGACTTGAAATTAATCCTTTTAGTGTACTATTCAGTGGCATATATTGTGCAACTTCCAATGCTATTTAGCTCCAAAGCATTTTTGTCACTCCAAACAGAAACCCCACACCCACTAAGCCACTCTCACTTCCACTGCCCTTCAGCCTCTAGTAGCCACCCAGCTACTTTTTGCCCTGTTGATTTCCCTATTCTGAGAATTTAATATATTTTATTTTTTCCCAAAATAGCACATTTTACTTTACAACCAATGACCCCCCTGCCAAAATTTGTCAGTTGTGACCTGTAAGGTGGCTTTTAATTGCTTTCTGATAGTCACTCATGCTGAGCAAGATTTTTTGATCTTCAAAGCACTCAGACTCAATAAGAAAATCTTCACTGCACTTGAGTTCACAAGTCCAAACGTCTTCCATTTAACTTAGCATTTCATCATCGATTTCCTTTGACATAAAAGGGGAGACAACGGTGTTTCTTTTAATTAATATATGTTTGTTAACAATTTTAATAAAACTGTAGAAACTACATGTTTATGGGATACCACACGATGTTTTGATATACTTATACATTTTAATGTCCCATCTAGGTAAACATATAAATCTCCTTACCATTTTTTTAAAAGCAGATTTTGTTTTTACTGCATTAAAGATTTTCTTCATTATTTTTCACGATGGATTTTTTTAGGCTCAGGAATTTCCCTTTCTACCCTCTCCCACTTCCTGTCCCTCGTTGTTTTTGTAACAACAGTTTAGTCCCTCAGCGACAATCACAAGCCCATCATTCTGCTACTTAAGTGTGTGCTGACATTGTAGGTGTAAAGAATGATATCAAGTCCAGAATTCTCGTGTCAAGATATATTTAACAGTTTCATTGGGAATCCATCTTTTATTCAGAAGTAGAGATGCATGCTGCATTGTGTTTCCACTTCATGGGATGCTCCCCTTCATTATACAGATCCTCTAGCTATATATTGTATATACGTGCTTACCTATGTAACCATTGAGCTTGTATCTTGCAGGAAGGTTGCTTTATATCAGACAGAACATATGATATTTGTCCTTTTGGGATTGGCTTATTTCACTGAGCAATTTTGTTGCAATGGTAAAATTTCTTTCTTTCTTTCTTTCTTTTTTTTTTTTTTTTTTAGTGGCTGAGTAGTATTCCATGGAGTAGATGTACTATAATTTCTTTAACCACTCCCCTTTGGATGGGCATCTGGGTTATTTCCATGTCTTTGCTATTGTGGATTGTGCTGCTGTAAATATAGGATTACAGATCCCTTTATCATATGCAGATTTCATTTCCTTTGGATATATTCCCAGAAGTGGGGTAGATTTATTTATTTAAAAGTCACAGTTACAGAGGGCGTGACAGAGAGAGAATCTTCTTCCCACTGGTCATTACCCAGATGGCCACAATGGCTGGGCAGGATGAAGCTTTCTCTGGGTCTTCATGTGTAGCAGACGACCAAGCACTTGGGATATCCTGTGCTACTTTTCCTGGGTCAGAAGCAGGGAGCTGGACTAGAACTGCAGTAGCTGGCACACAAACCAGTGCCCATATGGAATACTGGCTTGTAGGTGGTTGTAGGTAGGCTAGCCCTTTACTACAACTTTTTTTATGCAACAAAAACAGATGGTAGCATGTTCTTTTTCTTGTTTAGTCAGTAGTGGTCTTGAGACCCGAGATTCATACATGATTTTTTACATGGCTTCTTACGCTTAGCACCACATTTTCATGGTTCCTATGTGCTATGACATATACTAGGACTTCATTTTTTTCTATGATCTGGGTAATCTTTGCATCCTAGGATTCAACACAGTACCAAGGAAAAAACAAAAGTGTTGAAATGAGCATGCTTCCTGGCCAAATTCCTTCCCTGTGAGACTAGATTAAGTTCATTGTCAAGCAGGTTCCTCTCGGACCAGGCAGCCGTGGGGGTTTTTCAGATGCTATCAGGTAGCATGTGAGCCTTTCCTCTTAAAGGGCAGCTATTAAAAGTGCTTTAAATTTCTATTTTGTAAATTCTATATTTGTAAATTTCTATTTTTCTTTCTATTGTTGATTTTGTATCATGACTTTTCATTTAAGGGGATGTACAGTAGCTGTGAAATGGAGACTAACGTCCAGATGTGAGGATGCAGTATAGTATGCACTTCTACTTCCAGACAAAGATGGACTTACAATGAAACTGTTTACTATATCTTGACAATAGGATTCTGGACTCTCTGCCATTGTCCATGCCCACAGTGATGGACATATGACTGTGTATGAAGAACTAAATGTTAGTTGTGGAGAGCTCTCTGACCCGCAGAGAAAAACTCTCACACACACCCTGGTGCTTCTTTATTATCCTCCATTTCCTCCCTCCCTGTTCTACACAAACTTCACAATATATACACTTCACCATCCAATCAACATTAAGGTCAATACAGCACGCGTAAAGCACACCAATCATAACGCAGAGTACTAACCCTGCACGCGGTGAGCATACACCAGGGGCCAATCTGGATAAAGTTCCGGATTTTGCTAGGCCTCTTCCTCATGACCCTGGCATACAGCCGAGGCATCATCTTAGGCCTGAGCAGCCAAGCTCCCAACATTAGTAATGATATAAAGGAACTAGGTGGGGGTGGAGGGAATTGGGGAGGGGATAAGGGAATATGGAACTGTATCATAAAATGATAGCAATAATAATATGTAAAAAAAAGAAAAGAAAACATGTATTATAAACAGAATATGCATGGACATCAAAATGAAGCAAAATAAATTCACCTTTTAACTTCATTTCCCATGAATCCTTTGAAAATATATAATTAAAACCAAAAAAAGGTGCTTTAAATGTACAAAATTTGCTACAAATGTGTGATGGTGGCATACAGGAAAATAAAAAGACTAATACTAGTCCACATCATGCTGGCAGCCACATCACAGGTCCTGGTTCTTGAAATGGACATCAACATCCTCTCTATCACCAAGGAAGTCACTTGGGTCATTTTAAGTAGTGTGCCAGGTCCACTCACTCTGTACCAGGTGCCGTGTCCCTAGGACATAGCTGTGACTGCAACAGACACAGTCCTTTCCAATATGGGACTGAGATGTTATCAGGGGTGGAGTCATATAAGTCCACTTCCAGTCAAGTCTGCAGCTTCTTCATCAAGTTTATCACCTGAGAGAAAGCCCATGCACATGCCCAGGAAGAGGATGTTGGCCTAAGCTGGTGAGCTCATGGGCCGAGAGGCTCTGAGCAACCACACTGGAGGGAGCCCCCAAGAGGTAGGTCAGAATGAGCCTGGCCCTGGGGGAGGAAGGCTGGCCTCAGCACAGGCTGCAGGCAGTGATGTGAGTTGGAAGATTGAAAGCCCACGTGGCTGGGACACAGGCAGGTGCACACATGGACAGGAGATTGTGAAGTGAAATCAATAGGGTGAGGACACCTGGCCCTGCAGCTGCACAGTATCCCAAACAGCTGTCTAAACGCATCTCAAGTAGTCACACTCAATGTTTCAAAGTCTACAGTGGAACAAATTTGTAATCAAGAAAAAAATATTTTATTTCTGTTTTTAATTTCAAAACTTGTCAGTTGGTACCAAAATAGGAGTTGTCAAGAAAAGTGGATCAAGCCTCATTAGATTGGGGTCAAAATATGTGTTCAACGTTGGTATGCCCATGCTTTTGGAACACCAGCAGCGGATACATTGGAAAGGCGTGCCTTCTGAGACGCCCTATGAGCAGTAGAGAGGGAAAGTTCAGAAGTAATTGTGTTCATTTTGCCCATCTTTGAGGGCCATCAGGTTACAGCTGAGTCACGGATTGTATTTTAACTCAGATTTCAAAACTGCCCATGGCTATTTTGGCGGAATGTAGCTCGGATTTTTCTTAGCAGTCCAAATGTGGGTGATTGTTTTTGTTCAGGCTACCTGGGATGAGCTTTCATGTTTGCATCCTTTCTACCTGCAGAAGCCCAGCTGGGACAGATGCTTGGCGTAGCAGCTGAGATGCTACGTGGGGCGTGTATACCCCACATCCAGGTGCAGAGGCTCAAGTCCTAAGTCTACTCTCAATTCCAGCTCCCTGTTGCTGCTCATCCTGGGACACGTAGTGGCTGATGATGTTGCAAGTAGCTGGGCCACTGCCACACGTATGAGACACCTGAATTGAATTCCAGCCCCATCTCTGGCTGTTGTGGGGATTTGAGGAATGAATCAACAGATGAAAGATCTCTGTTTCTCCATTCTCTCTACCTTTCAACTATATTTGTAAATATATAAATATATATGTACATATATATATTTATAAACAACCATGTTGGATGTTGCAATTGCAAGGAGTACATTTCCTTTTTAATTTTGTTCTGTACACAGTCTTTTCATCCATGTGAGTCATGAGAATCTTTTCTCTGGACCGCTAATATTTGACAACCCCAGGGGAATTGCTACGCGCATGAGTCAGTTGTCCTGACCCTGCCTTCTGCTGAAAAGCCCTGTGAGTTTGAACAAGAGTGAATAAACTGATGACTTGCCTGCCCTTCCCCCACCTTAGGGTGTGTCCTCCCCTCTGAACATTGTCCTTCTTGGGAGTTGCAATCTGTGGTGTTTACACTTTTTCTCTTCTGCCCTCTTCCCTCTATGTTATTAGGTTTCTGCAAATTATTTGGGACCGATTGACGTTTCAAGCTAAAGATGATGGTACTGAGTAGCCTGCGGGTCATTCTCCAAGCGACTCCATGCAAACTGTTGCGGAGAAGGTTCCAGATAGCCGAGTCACTGCTGGTGAGGCCATGCAGCCTTTACACATGCACATACAAGTCCCGGAACCGAACCTGTGAGTACTCCTCTTTCTTAAAGAGCCATAAAGGCATGCTGGTTTCATCATAATCATGGGGATTAAGCATCGGCGGTTATGATATCATTGCCATTGCAGTGTGCAATTCTAGACCTCAAGAACTGTGAGAATAACTATTTCTCCTTTGATCTATCAAAGTAAAGTGTTGAAAGTTCTTACTTGGCCAATTTGAGCATGTTAACATAATATCCTATAGAAACTGGGCAAGGAGGCTGGCCCAAGTCCACATGTTTTGGAATCTGTTATTTACTGTTTCACGTTAGCAAATGCTTTTTTATTCAGTTTAATTCTACTCACTACAAACTCCTTCTGTGTACCATAAGTTTCTGAAAGTTACATATTAATGCCTGCAAACAGTTCACTAACTTCACATTCCAGAATATTCCATCCCGAGTTAGGAGGCACAGAGTTCATTCTAGCTGAGCAGCTTGCAAGTGTGTACTGTGCTGAAAATACCAAGTAAGGCACACACGGCTGTCCCTCAGACCTCCTGCATTTGGTTCCCCTCCTGGGAAGAAAATGCACTGTCCGCCTCTGCACGGGGCAGGCGTCCTCCTCCACTGCTCACTCACCTTGGCAGTGGCTCATTGATTGTGCTCTTAGGGACTAGCCTGTAAGCTGCTAATGGCATCAATTGCCTCTACACAGTAAGATGCCAGTAGCGCCCCCCCCCCACACACACACTTGTAATAATCAAAAGTCTCTATAAACATTGCCAAACAAGCTTGAGGCACAAAATTGGCCCCTAGTTAAGAAGCATTATAATGGGGCCCGGCACAGTAGCCTAGCAGCTAAAGTCCTCGCCTTGCACACATCAGGATCACATATGGGCATTGGTTCTAATCCTGGTGGCCTGCTTCACATTCAGCTCCCTGCTTGTGGCCCAGGAAGGCAGTGTAGGATGGCCCAAGGACTTGGGATCCTTGCATTCATGTGGGAGACCTGGAAGAGGCTTCTGGTTCAGGGCTCCTGGCTTCAGATCAGCTCAGTTCTGGCAGTTGTGGTCACTTGGGGAGTGAATCAATGGATAGAAGATCTTCCTCTCTGTCTCTCCTCCTCTCTGTATATCTGACCCTCCAACAAAAAGAAGCAAATAAATCTTTTTTTAAAAGAAGAAGAAGCATTATGATGGACTCAGTCTGTTGGCTCAGTGCCTAAATCCTTGCCTTGCAAGCCCTGGGATCCCATATGTGCACCGGCTTATGTCCTGGCTGCTTCATTTCACATCCAGCTCCCTGCTTGTGGCCTGGGAAAGCAGTTAAGCATGGCCCAGAGCCTTGGGACCTGCATTCATGTGGGAGACCTGGAACAAGCTCCTGGCTCCTAGCTACAGATCAGCTCAGTTTCAGCCATTGCAACCAATTAGGGAGTGATTCAATAGATGGAAGATCTTTGTCTCTGTCTCTCCTTCTCTCTGTAAATCTGCCTTCCCAACAAAAATAAATAAATCTCTTTTTTTAAAGATGCATTACAATGATGCAGAAAGATAGTGAGTTTGAGATTATAGAGAGATGAAGTGGTTAAGTATATTATTAAAGCAGATTTTTTTCATGTTTTCCATTATTGAAAAACAATTTCCTGAGTTTTCAAAAGGTAGCTCAAAATGCGTCCTTACTGACTTTTATTCTCTTTGATCACCATATGTATAAAATGAAAAGCATGGATAAGAATGCAAGGTTTGTGAATTACTAATGTTTATCTAGCTAAATCCAAATCTTGAGACAACTTCATAAAGAAATATTTTTCTAAGTTTGGTTAGCTTCTTTTAACCTTGACTGTGTTTTCATTATTCATATAAACTGGCCAGAGTCATAATAAATTTCTAGTTGCTGGGTGTGGCTTCCTGTTGGCATGGCCACACCCTACCCACACTGGCTCATTCTAAACAGTGGCATTTTGTGGTCTAAGGCTGCAAATGGAACAGATTAGTCATATTTGTCTAGTTGGTAAAGTTTCGCTATTTAAAAAATTTTAACAGCAAGATGAACCCAAATGTCTCAATGCCTGTATTAAGTTTTTAAGATAGTTTACTCCTTTTAGAGCTGACAGAATCCAAACAATGGTGGTTTTGTGTGGGGTGGCAGCTTCACTTAATTTCCCACATCAAAAACAGGATTTTGTTTGTAGATTACTGGGGAAACCAGGGTACAGTCCCGCTTTGATTTTGCTTTTGGCATATCACATTGTCTTGACTTATTTTTACCCAGGAGATCTTAGAGTCCTTGCCGCCCAGGGCCACTGAGCATGCTTATAATCTGGAGCTGCGTGCGAACATCTGTAAGACAGAGCTCACTGTTACTAATGTACATGTGTGCGCAGCAATGACCCGAGTTTGTTAAAGGTTAGAAACTCAGTCATGCCAGCCATTTCAGGTGCTGTGGCCACCACTAGCACCACCACCATCATTCTCACCTTCATTGGCTCAAAGCCTGATGCTGAAATATGGTCATTTAAGATGAAATGAAGCAAAAGGAGGAGTCAGTGAAATCAGATATTGCAGCAAATTGATAAAGCAACATTTCTAGACAATCTTGTACTCTGGGCTTGTGTCTCTGCTTTTCCATCTCCCTCAGGTGGGATTCACTGGCTGCTCACTGTTTTCTCACAGCGTACTCAGGAACTCTGGACTGGTTTAATCTGGGGGACTAGTAGACCATGTACCACTCCATCAGGACAGAAATAAAATCAGTTTCACTCAGGGTATCATCTAATGTAATTTAGCCTGTTCGTCACTTAAAAGAATTTAGGCATGAGGTCATAGCTCTAGGAAAATAAATTTAATAATTTAATGCTTCTTGACTTAATGAAATATCAAAGAATATCATCTAGAATACAAAATACAAGACTGATTATTATTCCAAGATTCTTAATGTTCATGATATCCTATATTGAAAAGGAAAAGAAACATTTTAGCATAACTTGGACTAGAAAGGCACTGTACCAAATGTAGCCACTAGTCCCATGTCAGTGTGTACATGTATGGTAAATTTCTTTAAACAATGTCCAATCACATTTACCTAGCACTTACCACATAGGACATTTCCATCATCAGACAGAGTTCTGTTTGACATCACTGATCTGTATTATGAGTGAAATTGGTAGAAAGCACCTCTATTATTTCTCTAGTTGATATAATAAGCCTACAGAGTAATAATATTAAAAACTTGTTTTGTGGTGTTTTCACGAATCACTCTGATAAGCCTTAAGATCTTAGGGGCTCAAGATGCCCCACATTTTTTTAGTAACTTTCAAACAGGCTCAATAAACAATGAGTCCATAGAGAACCATGCGGGATGCCCAGTGGCCCAGGGTTATCTTCAGCTGCCCAGCGCTGAGCCAGAGCCTGGGCCTGATCAGGAATGTGGCGTTTAATCTGCTGTGCTGGGAGCTGCTAACCAACTCCCCAGTCAGCAAAGTGTTTTTCTGGCCCTGATACTTGCACAAGGCAATTTGTGATTCTGTGACATCTTTACCCAGGTCCTGTGGAGGATCCTGTGTGTGGTGACACTGCAAAAAGGCCTTCAATTATGTGAGGAAATAGCACGTCGCAAGAAAAAGGACAGTGCATGGCAAGGCACAGAATAAAAAGCAAATAAAGCTATAGGGCAATGCTATCCAGTAGATAACATAGCTACACATATCAGCCATGTAATTAATTCTGTATTTTCTTTTAAAAAATATTTTTTTGAAAGGTAGATTTGTAGAGAGAAGGAGAGACAGAGAGAAAGATCCATCCACAGACTCACTGCCCAAGTGGCCCCAATGGCCAGAGCTGAACTTTTCCGATTCCAGGAGCCAGGAGCTTGCTCCATGTTTCCCACATAGGTGCAGGATCACAAGGCTTTGGGCCATCATCAGCTGCTTTCCAGGTCACAAGCAGGGAGCTGGGTGTGAAATGAAGCACATGGGACACAAACCAGCACCCATATGGGATACCTGTGCTTGCAAGGCGAGTATTCAACCACTGAACCATCAAACGGGACCCATATTCTGTATTTTCTAATGACCATACTTTTAGAAGTAAAATTGGGCCTGGCACAGTAGCCTAGTGGCTAAAGTCCTCACCTTGCATGTGCTGGGATCCCATGTGGGTGCAGGTTCATATCTTTCCTGCTCCTCTTCCCATCCAGCTCCCTGCTTGTGGCCTGGGAGAGCAGCAGAGGATGGCCCAAACTCTTGGGACCCTGCACCCACGTGGGAGACCTGGAAGAAGCTCCAGGCTCCTGGCTTCAGATTGGTTCATCTCTGGTCGTTGTGATCACTTGGGGAGTGAACCAGTGGATTGAAGCTCTTTCTGTCTCTCCTCTCTGTAAATCTGCCTTCTCAATAAAGGTACAAAAATCTTTTAAAAAAGAAGTACAAATAAGCAGGCATAATTAATCTTATTAATATGTCTTATTTATCCAAATTCATCTAAAATATCGATGTGGGTGGGGTATTTTTTTTTTAATTCTACACTCTTATGCACAGATAAGAATACGTAAATCTTTTCAAAAGATGAGCAAGCAGGCATAAAACCCCACCTCCACTTGAGGGCATAGGTTGCCCCACACAGAGAAAAGTACCCAGTGTGAGTGGGCAGTAGGCCAGAGGATTGGCAGCACAGGCCATGACTTTACCTGATACGTCACAGCATCAGCCCCTGGAAATGAATGTCACATTCCTTATGTTGTACCATGCCTACAGAGTCGCTCGGTCCTACACGGATAGCACATCCAGCTTAGACAGGCCACACAGGGCGAGTGTCTGCCGTTCGGAAAGCTCAGATCTAGAGAGAATGACTGCAGAGGACTGCGAGCGGATGAAGGGATGCTTATACAGGGAGGAGTGTCAGGGAAGCGGCTTGAACAAGCTCTGAACGCCTGGAAGAATGAAAAAAAATGGCAGGTATGATGAGGAACCTAGGTTGCATCTGGAATCAAGCAGCCAATGGGAGTGAGCTAAGGGTAGGGAGGCTGGTTTGGCTTGCTTTCTTTGAGCAGCTAACTTCAGCCCTGGCGGCCACAGAAAAGGTGCAGCACACACATCCTTTGGGCAGATAAAGCAAATACATATTGCATAAGGAATGGCTGAGTGTTGAATGAAGTGAGAAGGCTTACAGTAGGATTGTGGGAAAAGAAACATCAGAGAGATTGGAGAAAATATCAATATGAAGATAAGCCTTGAACTAGAAGACACTTGTAGTGACGGTGAGGAGGATGAAGGGTATTTCAGCACAGTACGAGTGGAGGTACGTCTGTATAGGTGGGTAGTTGTGAGAACAGCATGACAGGTGCGGTATCATGATAAGGCAATAACAAGCCAAAGAGAGATGCATGACCAGAAAAGTAGCATGGGAAGCCAACATTTGGGAAGAAGGGAGTAAAACGGGACCAGCTAAGCGAGATGGGTTTAAAGAGGAAGAGTTAGGCACTTGGATGCAGAAGTTACAACTTGCTGGACAGACAGGTGAAATGTGAAGGTAGGTAAGCTAGAGAAACTGCCAAGTGACAGAATACTTAGAGAAGAGAACATAAGAGGAGAAGAAGCCGCCCAAGGCTTTCTGTGAACTCTGGGATCACATTGCCTCGACTAGGTTGTTAGTCATGGGCAAGGCAAGGATGAGTTAAATTTAATAGGTTGATAAGAAGTAGAAATGTGGGCCCAGCATGGTAGCCTAGTGGCTAAAGCTCTCAACTTGCATGCGCTAGGATCCCATATGGGCACCAATTTGTATCCTGGCTGCTCCACTTCCCATCCAGCTCCTGCTTGTGGCCTGGGAGAGCAGTCAAGGACGGTCCAAAGCCTTGGGACCCTGCACCAGTGTGGGAGACTCGGAACAAGCTCCTGGCTCCTGGCTTCAGATTGGTTCAGCTCTGGCCGTTGTAGCCACTTGGAGAGTGAATCAGCAGAGGGAAGATCTTCCTCTCTGCCTCTCCTCCTCTTTGTATAGCTGTGTTTCCAATAAAATAATTAAATCTTATAAAAAGAAGTAGTAATGTGATCAGTAGAGTTATAGGAAATGCAGCAAACAGGAGAATTAAACTGATTTAGAACATTGGGGATGCTGCAACAAAATGCTCTGGGTAATTTTCCAACAACACCCATCATTGCTCACAGCTCTGGGGGCTGGGCAGCCCATGGAGAAAGCAGCAACTGATTAAGTGTTGGGTGAGAGCTTGTTCTCTGCTTTCAAGATAGCCACTTCTTGCTGTGTCCTCTCGCGGCAGAAGCGGCCAGGAAGTCCCCTGAGGTCTCTTTTGGCAGGGCACTAACCTCATTTATGAAGGTTCTGCCTCCATGACCCAATCAATACCCGAAGTGCATACCTCTCAATACCATCACCTTGTAGGTTAGGTTTCAGGATGTGTATTTTGGAGGGACACACATACACAGAGCCAGCAGACCTTCCCCCGATGCTCTTCATTCTACTTATTCCATCTACAATTACTGACGGAAAGCCAGGTGGCTTGCAGAGCAGGGGAAGGCAGATATTTACACACCTGTGCATGTAACCATAACTCTACCCATGTAATACATGTTGGGAAGGACACGGAGTGATAGGATTCAAAATAACATATGGGGGATCGTGTTATAAGAGGGTAGTTAGAGAAAATGATGCTGAAGAGGTGGACAGATAGTACGTGCCAGCCCTGTGCTGAGTGAGGGGAAACTGATTTCCGTGGAGCAGGAGGTGGGCCGACAGGGCAAAGGCAGGGTGAGCCCTCCATAGTTCAAGGCTTAGAAGAAGTGTTAGGTAGGGCCCTTTCCCCACACATGGGCTAGTTTTATCTTCCTTCTGAAACCAAATGACAGTGAGCCTGGAGAAAGAGGTGACGGCAATGGACTCGATAAGTATGTCCTCGTAAAATTCACATGTTGAACTCCTTACCCCCAGGTGAAGCTATTAAGACATGGAGCCTTTGGGGTGATTAGGTTATGAGGGCTCCCTTGTCCCTTCGACCAAGAGAAGACAGCTGTTGTCTGTACACCAGAATGCAATTCCCTGCCCGACACAGAACCTGCTGATGTCCTGATTAGGCAGTTTGCAGGCTCCAGGAGAGTGGGCAGGACATTTCTCTAGTATATAAGGCATTTAGCTATAAGACAGTGCTGAAGTACAGCATCAGTCAAAGCTGGGCGCCGTCAAATACGTAAGAACTAAAAGCAAGCGCATCTTCAACCTGAAAGTGTATTGATCAGCTACGGGTCACTGACAGTTTCTTGACAGCACCATGACTGTGTTCCTGCCAACCACAGCTGACGTGTCACAATCTCTTTATCTTACTTTCCCTATACAACAAAAGCCTGCACGAAGGGTGTTGGGCACAGGGAAGGTGCCATTCGCAACACTCGAGCCCACATTAAGAGTGCCTGGTTCGAGGACCAGGACCTGTGCTGCCACGGAGCTTCTTGCTCAGGCGTACCCTGGGAGACAACAGAGAGTGCCATGTGCTGGCGCCTGTCACCCACGGGCAGACTAGAAAGAATTCAGGCTCCCTGCTGCCTTGGCCACAACCCCAGTGTTTGGCAAGTGTACGAGGGGATGGACAAACTCTCTGCTTGTCTGGCTTTCAAAAAGGGAAAATAAATTCTCAAAAGGTTTAAAAGAAAAAACCTGAAAGTGAAACCTCTACAAGAACACTTAATCATCTTCCTATTTTGACAGGAAATATGAGTAACTCACCAGGAAATTATTCAATCTGCTTTTTGTTTAACCAGAGAAAGAGGAGGGCCAAAAAGAACAAAAATGTGAGTTTACTTCCAACAAAACAAGGCTGTGGCTTTCTTCAGGGGACAGTGACCAAGGCTGTGCCTATAGTGGGAGGATGGTCTGGGTTAATAGAGGAGAAACGGGTAGGAGGAAAGGGCAAATTCTGGAAGCAAAACTGGTAATTGGTAGAAGCATTATGATCATAAAACAGCAATTGAATGAATGAGTCTGATTTTCTTGGCGACTCATTTGCATGGTTGTGAGACTTGATACATTCAATTTTCTGAACGAAGCAGAAAATAGGGGTAAGCAAAGGCATTGTCTGCAGGACCTGCTCATTGTTCCATCTCTTCTAAGTCACATAAGACACCAATTAGCCATAGTGTGATGATCTCAGAGGGAAACTAGGCTGTTCTAGGGTTTTCTAGAAGTTTAAAAATTAATATAATTGTGTTAGATAATCAATACTCAAAGAACACATATTTACTAAGGCATTGCAGGGCAGCAAGTCGGAGGAAGATGTGGCTCTTCTCCGCAAGAATTTACATTCTCAGCAGATTGCAATATGATGGCACTGTGCCAGTTTATATGCATTTTCCATTTCAGAGTTCTGAAACAAAGTTCTATGAAGTAAATTCCTGTCCTTGTGCACTGAAGGGGGGAAGCCTTAGAGGTTCAGACCTCTCCGCAGATGAGAGTAGTGCTGTTGCGAGGCGTGGATCAGTGAGCTGACACATAGCTTTTAGTTCTAACCCAGAATTTCTCAACTTGACACTATCCACATTTGGGGCAGCACAATTCTTGTAGGAGCTGTCCATGCTGGGCATGCAGGGCTTAAGCTGTAGTGCTGGCTTCTGTCCACTAGATGTCAGGAATACTCTCCCTCAGTTTGGCCACAAAAAAAAAAAAAAAAAAAAAAAAAAAATCGCCAGCACACATTGCTGGCTTTCCCTAGCATGGCTGCCCTGCTCCCTCCATCCAGACGCCTTCAGAGAGTTTCAAGACTAAGATCTTAACTTTCAGTTTGGAGCAACTTTTGACAGAAGAGGGATGTCTTTTCTGTAAGTAGACTAGATGTGGATTCCTGGCCTGTGCTTTGTTTTGTTTCTCTGGAAATGGGGGAATGATCGACAGGCAATTTGGTTGGGTGACCAACTAGCTACCATTTAAACCCCGCAGCCTCATCTTAGCAGTGTGGAGAGAGGCAGAGGGTTGATGGTGTTTTCTGCCCCTTGATGCTGGTCCTGGTTTTCCCATTGGTCTGGATCCTGAGCACCTGTGGTGCGTCCTGCGTTGTGCTCACCATGCCCAGAGGTCTCTGCAGGCCTGTGTGGCTTGTCAGGACGGCAGCTGGCATTGTTCGGGGACTTGCGATGGGGACGTGGTATTTGTGGAAGAGAATCAGCCGAGCACCAGCAGCTCGTGTGTGGGATGAGTTGTCCGCATCCTGCTCTCAAGATGCGTCCAGGGCTGGCGGCAGACTGCGGACTGCGCAGACGCGAGCAGGGTGCACATGGACTCAGGGTCGGCAGGGTTTGCTAGCCCTCATGTCAGAGGTGACCGCAGCGCTCGGGCACCCAGTGTGCACGCTGAGGTGGGGGCAGCGTGCTGCAGAAGGCCCGTGGCAGCCTCGGCTTCTCCAGAACAACCAACCACACAGCAGCAGTGCTTGGCTGAGGGTCCGCTTGCCCAAGGCTCTGCCTGCATCGCCTGTGCTGGCAGTAGTCTGCTCATGATCAGTACCTGCAGCAGACTTTGCAGAGCTTGATAGGGGCAGCCGGGGTGCAGGAAAGCACCGGTGCAGAGAGAACTCCCTTGGGAGCCCTCGCATTTCGGGGGTGCGCAGCTCTGCATGCACGTGGCCATTGCCCCAGTCTGAGGGCTCTGGGTCTCGGTGCCTTTGGTCAGCAGCCTGGGAGGTGCTGCTGGCCCCACAGGCCGTCTGGCAGAGTGCTGGGGCTCTGCACCGTGCCCTCTGGCCTGCCGTTGTCCTACTCCAGGCAGCTGCTGGAGGCCCTCCTCTGGCTAACTTGTAAGGCTTGAGCTGCTGTTTCTGGGCAGCTTGCCCTCGGTGGGAGGTGGGAGGTGGGAGGTGGGAGGTGGGAGTGCCTCGAGTGTGGTGCTCGGGAGCACGGGAGCACGGGAGCATGGGGTCTTGCTGATGGGCGCACTCTGCATCGCTCGCTCCTAGTGCATCCACTCTGGGAAAGCCTGGACCTCGTGCCTGGGGGCGACCGGCAGTCACCCATCAACATCCGCTGGAGGGACAGTGTCTACGACCCTGGCTTAACACCGCTGGCCATCTCTTATGATCCGGCTACCTGCCTCCACATCTGGAATAACGGATACTCTTTCCTTGTGGAATTTGAAGACTCTACGGATAAGTCAGGTGAGACACGGTCTGGTGGTTTTGTCTGGAGTTAGAGAATAGTGCCTCTCCATAGAGGAAGCACCAGACTCCCTCTGGCCGTGCTGACTGAGCTTTGTCAGCAAGAATGTGGAACATACTGGATGTCTTTAAAAGAATTTCCTTTGTTTTTTGTTTTTTTTTTTTATTTATTTGTTTGAAAGTGATTTACAGAGATTGAGGGAGAAAGAAGAGAGATCTCTCCATCAGATGACAAGGGCTCAGCCAAGATGAAACCAGGAGCAATAAACATTTAAAAGCAACAAAAGGGGCAAGCATGTTGGCACAGTGGGTTAACTAGCTGTCTGAAGTGCTAGCATCCCATATGGGTACCATTTTGAGTCCTGACTGTTCCACTTCTAATTCAACTACCTGGCAGTGCTCCTGGGAAAGCAGAGGGCTCCTTCCACTCATGTGGGGGAGCTGGCAGATGCTCCCAGCTGCTGGCTTTTAGTGTCCCCCAGCTCCGATGCCATTTGGGGACTCAATCATCAGATGAAGATCTGTCTCTCTCACTCTGTCTCTCCCTCTCTCTTTAATTTTGCCTTCTAAATAAATAACTAAATGTTTTTTAAAAATCAAGAAAAAAGAATGTTCTTTTAAAAAGGATACTATGAATCTTTAATAAGTACCTAACTTTTCCTGTGTCTCTTTTCCACCTTTCAGTGCCTGCCTCTTTTCCCTGCTGTTTCTGCACCATAATTCATAGCATTCTGAGAGAAAAAAGAGTTAATTAACATAAAGAAAAAAGTGAAAGAAAGGAAAGAATTACTAGAAACAATGAAAGGCGAGAAGCAATTCTAGAAATGTAAGGGCCTAATAGATGCCATTGCTATTTGTTTCAAAATATAAGAAAAATCCTCTGAAATGCTGCTGCAGTCAGCCTTGTACTGCTCAGGAATAAACAGAAGCAGAGCAAAACTAGCGAGGGGAGAACTAACTAAACCTACAGCGAACTGACAGGAGGCAGGAAAGAATACAACAGAAATCAATTAAATCAAATTGGTTTTTGGAAAGCTCGACGAAGTTGACAAATATTTAGTTAGGTGGATCAAGAAAAAAAGGGAAGACTGAAAATACTAATATCTAGGATGAAAAACCATGTGACCTCTTGCAGAGCTGGTGGGGACTGTAAAAGGAGGCATATGGCACCTCTCACTGCCATCTTCTGCTGGTTCTCGTTTTTTTATTGGTTCCCCTGAGTCAGGCATGGTCAAGGGTTTTAATGAGTGCATGTGAGTCTAAGTACTGTGGATGAGGAGCCGCAGTTAACCCTGGACTGGCATGATCCCTAGGAACAGTCACGTGAAATTCCTTTTTTGGCAATGTCCAGGAGCGTCGAACAGAGGGATAGGTGAGTTTCTTAGTTTTTCTCCTGAAGGAGATTGCTGTGGTTGATCATTTGTGTAGCAAAAAGTCAACTAAAGATGCACGAAGCCTGAAGATCATTAAGATGAATGAGTTAGGTGGCTGTAATGTTGTTGTATTGGTTTTATCATGTGCAGGCCTCATGGGGTCTGATCAGGTGGATGAAATAAGGAATTAGTGTATATTAGAAAATTCAAGAAAAAAATCAGCACAACACAAAGCCTGAGAAAGGACGACTTTCAAAATTTGTCTTGCCTGCATATTTTGCCTATGAGGTATTGATTTCAGTAGGTCCAAAAACCAAAGGTATTTGTTATCCAAAGGAGAGGCCAGTGAAAGGCCCACCTTCTCCACTCTGTGCAAAGGAAGAGAAGATGGGGAGAATCGGGGGCTTAAAATCAGCAATAATCATATATATACAATATATATACATATACACATAGCTATGCATGTAGCTACATGGACACCTAATTAACACCTAACACCTCACATATCTTTTTAATTTTTTAATTATTTCAGGTAATGTTTACATAGTCGCTAAGGGTGGGAAAGAGCTAGGGTTAGGGAGAAGTGGGTGTGATCATTGCTTCCAAACTCTCTAGTTCTTCTTCCCATTTCTGCGGGATCTTTTTATAGCCCAAACATTTAAGATCTGCTCTTCTAGAAACTTAAGAATCTACATTTTTTTTTTTACAATAGCTTTTATTTGAAAGGCAGACAGGAATCTTCATTGTTCACTCCGCAACTGCATACAACAGTACAGGCTGGGCCAGGCTGAAGCCAGGAGCTGGGAGCTCCACCTGGCCTCCCTGACGGCTGCAGAGTATTTCTGCCTTTCGAGCTATTTCTGCCTCCCAGGGTAAAAGTTAACAGGAAGTTGAAACTGGGAGCAAACCTGGACTTGAATACAGAAACCTGCATATGGGATATTCCCAGTAGTGTTCCAACAGTTGGATCAAATGTCTGCCTCCATATTTTATCAGTAACCAAGGTCAATTTACTTGCCATAGATCTTAAAAAATGTATTCCTTTGTCCAACTGAAACTTTGTCCCCTTTGACCAACCTCTTCCAAGTGTTAAGTTCGGACTTGCACATTTCCCAATCTATTGCAATGAAAGGGAAAGAATCACTAAGATCTTCAAAAATTGGAAAGCAAAGTGTCAGTGCATTAAAAAGAGTATTTTCATCCCCATATTTCAGTTTTCTAAGATTAAGTTGGATAAAGTTGTTGAGGGGCCAGCATGGTGGCATAGCAGGCTAAGCCTTAATCTGTAGCACTGATATCCCTTATGGAGTCACGTGTGTCCTGGCTGCTCCACTTCCGGCCCAGCTCCTTGCTTATGGCCTGGGAAAAAATCAGAGGATGGCTCAACTCTCTGTATTTCCTTCTCTCTGTAAATCTGCCTTTCAAATAAAAATGAGTAAATCTTTTTCAAAAGTTGCTGAAATTTGCATTGTATTGCACACAAAAGAAAACTGGACAAGGTAAATATAAAAGTCGGTCAAGAATTAGCCATTAACAATTGTATGTAGCTTGCCCTTATAATTCATGGCAATTAAATTCATAAGTCTTTCATGCTCTAGTGTACTCTACTTAGGACAGTTGAGATACAAAGAGAATAGACCTTTAGATTCAACAGCTCTCCAGCGTTCCTCCCCAGCCTAAATGACTGTCCCCTGCACTGCCGGCTGTGCCTTTCAGTAATCGAGGGAGGACCCCTGGAGCACAGCTACCGTCTGAAGCAGTTCCATTTCCACTGGGGGGCCATCGATGACTGGGGATCTGAGCACACGGTGGACAGCAAGTGCTACCCTGCAGAGGTACGTTGGCAAACTTGGCATCTGCCCCAGCTGGGGAGAAGTGGGGGGGGGGGGACACTGTGAAGTTATCAGAAGAACTGGGTGATTCTCATAAATTGCAAAAAAAAAAGAAAAGCTCGCTGAGTAGCATATGTGATTATTCACAGCCTGCTTCTCTAACAACATCACTGAAATGAACCTTAATGTCACGAAACTGAATTCTTCCAGATTCTGAAGCTAAGCTCAAATGACAGCCCAGCAGCGGTAGGGAGTGCCTGCTCTGGGGGCTGTATACAGCGTGCAAAATCATTTAGTTTGCCCTGCGAAGGCAACCACAGGCAGGACATGAAATTGAATAAATGTATAGCAGGCTAATTTTGACATTGATAATTTTGCATGGCCTGTGAATGATGCAATACACAGATGGCCTTTGGCAGACCAAAGGTTCCTGCTGCTAGACAGGAACAAGGCAGGCAGGAGGGCCGAGCCCAGGGTGGCCTTACTCTGAGCGGAGGACAGGAGCCCAAGTGATCACTGTGCCAGCAGACACAGAGGAGCGAGCTTTGCCAAGCATTTCTGAGAGACAAGTAACAGGATTTTGAGGTGGGTCCCCTTCAGGAGAGGTGAAGCTCAAGTTAACCATGACCCTGATGTGTCTCATTTTAGAGGCCATATTTTTATGCATTCATGAATGATGGATGAGGAATGATGTGGCAGGAAATACAGGATGAGCCTAAGGAAATAGAATTTCTTTTTACAACTTCCCCCTAATTTATTTTAAGTGTTATTTTAAAAATTAAATATTTTAAATGGTTGTCCCCACAAGAGGAAATTTGTCTTGAATGCCTAATTTCCATGGGGGAATCACATTCTCTCCTTTAGATGCAAATGAATTTTGGATATTACTATTTCATGCAAATCACCTGTGAGGGGAGAAATGTTGCTGTATGACTTCTTCGCTTTCCTCCCCATGTCAGTCTATTCCAAAGTAACAGCAACTGCTGTTGCTGAAGTGACCCAGGCTTTCCTATTTGTCTTCTGCTTTTCCAAGTGATTTCCTTTTGAGTGAGGAAGCATGCTTACCATAGATGAATGAAGCTGTCATGTGGCTTGGAAGCGATCCTGTAGAGTCGCGTGACAAACCCTCTTATGATTGTGTTTCAGCTGCACTTGGTGCATTGGAATGCAGTCAAATTTGAAAGCTTTGAGGATGCAGCAGTGGAAGAAAATGGTTTGGCTGTGGTTGGAGTCTTTCTAAAGGTAAAAAAAAAAAAAGAATCTCACCAACTTTAAATGTGCTGCATTCTAGAATAAAGCTAGAGTACGACAACAGTGCTTTTGCTTTACTGATATGGGGACCAATGCACCGATGGACATCAGCACTGCCGGGGAAGCCCTGTGGCACAGCATCGCAGGTATTCACCTGGGACAGGCACCTCTGCACCTCTGTGTGCCCTCTGCCAACTCAGCGGCCTGCTGCTGTGCGTGCTGGGAGACCACAGCTCAGGGCTTGGTTTCTTGGGTCCCTCCCACCCACGTGGGAGACCCACACTGAGTTCGGGACTCCTGGTTTTAGTCCTGGCTATTGTAGGTATTTGGGGATGAAAATACCTCACTCTGGCTCTGGGTTTTAATAAAAAAAATATTTCAAATGGTAGTCATAAGCCACCTATAGCAATTGAGCTCTTGAAATGTGTCTAGGGCCCAGAGCGGTAGCGTAATGGTTAAAGTCCTCGGCTTGCACACGTGGGATCCCATATGGGCGCTGGTTCTAATCCCGGCAGCTCCACTTCCCATCCAGCTCCCTGCCTGTGGCCTGGGAAAGCAGTTGATGATGGCCCAAAGCTTTGGGACCCTGCACCCGCGTGGGAGACCTGGAAGAAGTTCCTGGCTCCTGGCTTCAGATCAGCGCAGCACTGGCCGTTGCGGCCACTTAGGGAGTGAATCATCAGATGGAAGATCATCCTCTCTGTCTGTCCTCCTCTCTGTACATATGCCTTTCCAATAAATAAATAAATCTAAAGAAAAAAGGAAATGTGTCTAGTAGAGATGCAGATACATGTTAGTATGACTCACATTTCCAGGGGAGGACACACTTCCAAGGAGCAGAGAGCACCTTTCTCTCCAGGCATGCTGACACTGTCAGCAACAATCCTCCAGTTGAACTGAACTCAGACTGAGCTCAGGGAGAATTTGTCACATTCCCAGTTACTGGCTACAATGCAGTTTCAGTCCCATACTTTGATTTTATGTAATCACCAGGTGGTTACATTTTTTTAAAATGTAATTTTATTTATAACATTGTTTACACGGTTGAGATGGATGTATGCCCCTCTGACTCTCAGACCAGGGTGGGGAGGAGGCATGGAGGAAGGTGGGTGGTACAAATGCTTCAATTTTCTTTTCTCCTGTGTCTGTAGAGAGAGAAGGGGAGGGGACTTCTTATGTCAAACTACCCCAGGGATGGGAGACTGTCCATTGAAACCTTACAGGAAGCTTGTTCTGCGCATGCTACTTGGGTGGTTTTGATAGTTCCGAGAAGTCATCAGCTTTGTTGCCCCAGGACTGAGAAAATCTTTCCAAGTCTACAGGTTGACCAAGTCAGGTGGTTAATTTTAATTCACATCCTGTTTCACTTTCTACAGTGAGATGCCCATTGTTAATATTTTCACATTTGTTCTTCAGGTAGGCAAGCATCATAAGGAGCTACAGAAATTGGTGGAGACTTTTCCATCCATTAAGCATAAGGTAATTTTCCCCCTAAGTCCCTTGCATACAGTTCATGTGCCCATCCCGGAGCGGAGACACCAGCCAGGCACTTTGGGGAAGTGTAGTGGCCTGCGAGTGTCCAGGTGCCCCTGGAACGTGGCGTTAAAGGAGCGTTGTCTCGCTCCCGGTGCTTGTGATTCAGAGAGCCCCGGCCCTGGGTCACTGGTCCAGAGCTGGGTGTGCTGCAGGGGCCCCAGGCTCTCAGGAGCCCACTGGACCCTGTGCCAGCTCCTGAGGCCTCGTGCAGACACTCGGGGCGCTCCTCTCTTCTCTGGCCCCTTCCCATAGTTCTGCTGTGAATAGTTCCCAGTGGCCTTGGGGTGGAACCTCCGGGCAGGCCCGGGGATGAGCCCTTCAAGATTCAGCATCCCTCAGGGGCTGCTCTCTGGCAGGCCACGTATTCTCCCTCGCCTTCTCTGCGTCCCACCTCCTGCCTCCTTCTCTCTCTTCCCCTCCTCCCTCCTTCCCCGCACCCTCCTCGGCCCAGCATCCTGGCTCCTGCTAATGTGCAGGGCGTTTCAGAAAGGAGACTCCTCAGGCAGGCGGCCTCTTGGGAACAAGAGAAGCAGCCGCCTGTTTCTGCACCGGCCACTCCCTGAGCCACCCACAGCACTCACGCCCACCTGCTGGAAACTCACTAGGCTTGGAGGCGGCTGGTGTTGACCATGTTCCTCCTGAGGGTATGAGAAAGATGCAGCCAGCTGTTGAAATGAGGCCTGGTCAGAGATTGTCCAGCAGGCTGCCTGGGGTCCCTGGAGCGCCCCCAGGCCCGGTCTCCAGAGAGCCCTGGTCCTCCAGGCCTCTCCAGCCCTGAGCACCAGGCCTTGTCAGCCCTTGGTATGATGGCTGCCTTGTCACCTGGTTCCGGAGTGGTTCTCTCCTCTAAGGCTCTGTGACCTGTTCTGTTGGCTAGGACACCCTGCTGGAATTTGGCTCGTTTGACCCTACCTGCCTGATGCCCAGCTGCCCAGATTACTGGACCTACTCTGGGTCTCTGACCACACCACCCCTCTCTGAGTCTGTCATCTGGATCATTAAGAAGCAGCCAGTGGAGGTTGATCGCAGTCAGGTATGTTCTACAAATGTTCCAGCTGGGGGCAGCCTTGCGCCCAGTAAAACAAGGCAAGGTTCACCCTCCGGCCTCTAGTTCAGCTTTGTTCCCCACAGGAGACCTATCTCACCAAAAAGATCAGTGGAAACTGTATCTCATGGATTTTGATTTTTTTTTATGGGTTTCATCTCTTCAAAACACTTTACTTTTCTCATTTTAAGTTCTTCACTGTTCATAGATCGCATAGTAGCACCATTTTTTTCAAGAAGGCTCTTGATTTTCTTTTTCATTTCTTCAGCAATACATTAGTCATTCAGTAGCATGTTATTTAACTTCATGGTGTTGTAATTTTTTTTTTTTTTGCTGTTGGTGATTTTGTTTTGTGGCTTTTCACTTGGGGGAGGTATATAGTAACTGTGTAATGGAGACTGTCATATCCAGATGTGAGGATACAATGCAATATGCATCTCTACTTCCAGAATAAGATGGACTCCCAACGAAGCTATTTACTCTATCTTGACAATAGGATGCTGGACTCTCTGCCATTGTCCATGCCTGCAATGATGGACATGTGACTGTGTATGAAGAACTACACTTTAGTAACGATATAGGGGAACTCAGTGGTGGGGGGGATTGGCAAATGGGTAAGGGAAATCCCAGGGCCTATGGAACTGTATCATAAAATGATAATAATAAAAAAATAGGGAGGAAACCAATATTGGGCCTTGGGGAAGGGCATGGGCAACTGTAGAACCTATGGAAGTATATTACAAAGCAAAATAAAATATGAAAAAACAATGTGCTGACATCACATCTAAGTTTGCGCATAAATTTTGGAATTCTTCAAATTAGAAAGTGGTTAAAAACATAGATCATAACTTTTTTACTTCTGTATCTGTCAGTTGCATATATTTAATCTATGTATTTTATTTATAGCTATGGATTTCTATATAAAATCCAGATTTTTAAAAATTTATTTTATTTCATTTTATGACACAGTTTCATAGGCTCTGGGATTCCTCCAACCCTCCAAAAAGCCCTCCCCCCGTGGTGGATTCCTCCACATTGTTGCAGTATTATAGTTCATGTCCAGTCATGATTCCTGCATTGCAAGCATGTACCATGCATAGAGTCCAGCATCTATTGTCCAGATAAATTCAACAGTTTCTTGGGGAGACCATCCCTGGTCTGAAAGTAGAGCTGGCAGAATATCATACCGTTCAACAAAAAGCTACAACATAACATCAACAACAATTTATAACATTATGGAGTTAATTGACATGGTATTGAGTGACCAATATGTTAGAAAATGCAAGTTCTTAACCACATCCTGTGACTACTTCATTGACATTTCAATTTAGTTTATACACAATCATTTGCTATAAACCTTAAAATGGTTATAGTGTACTATTTGGCTGTCCTATGTCTATTTTCATTTTTACATTTAGCCGTTTATAGTATTGAATCATATTTTTACTCAACTTGGCGAATTTTAGGATAGTCCAAACCGGCTTATAACTCCTTACCAAGGCATATGTTAACAACTGAGGCACAGAGCAGTTTTAGGAGGGGGAACTGTATCACATGCAATAAGTACTGTGATGTAACGAATGAACCAACAAGCAATGTATGGCAGACTGCTTGTGATCTACATCAAAGAACTGACAAAGCTAATATACTTTTAATGCCCTATGTTTTTCTGTAACGGGTTGGGAGAGCAGAGAAATCTTCCACCTTCTTAGAATGTGTGAGGAAGATGTTAAGTATAATCCATCCACAATATAACAGGTAACTTATAGACAACAGACTCAAATCAGCATTAGACATTAGCAAAACTGTAAAGACATACAGTGGGATCCAAGAGCAATCCTGACAGCCTCTTCACAGGAGGTCATGTGCACAGAGCGGGGCGGGGGGGAACCCCAGAGTGGAGCAGGAGGACAGTAGGAGACTTGTATCCCAACCCTGGAGACTCCCGGATCCTCACCTAGGACTATCAGTGTGGGCACCAAGGACTACATCCCAATTGCCAAGGAGACCACGGGGAATTGGAGTACCCTCGTAGGCTGAGAACTCTGAGGTCATCCATTCCCTGTCAGATCTCCCATACGGGATGGAAGAAGCCCAGATCCTTCCTCACAGGATCTAATGTCATCGGAACAACAGCCAGGAGCCCTGAGTCGTCCTCAGAAACAGAAGAACAGTAATCTTCCTTCAGGACTCGGGAGGGGAGCTTTCTCGGGTCCTTACTTAGTTCCAACTTTGGATCCCCACCTTTTCTTGCAATGACCATCAGGGTCACGCTGGAGCCACCGATCCCAAAAATTAGATCAGATAGACAGAGACCAAAAAGGAAAGCTTAGAACTAGATGGGAAACGGTCAGCTTAGACTCACATATACCAGACCCTTTTAAAAGGCAAAGAACAAAGAGAATTGTTTGAAACCCTTCAGGGAGGGCCCAGCGTGGTAGCCCAACGGCTAAAGTCCTTGCCTTGCACACATCAAGATCACCTATAGGTGCGGGATCTAATCCTGGCAGCTCCACTTCCCATCCAGCTCCCTGCTTGTGGCCTGGGAAAGCAGTCGAGGATGGCCCAAAGTCTAGGGACTCTGCACCTGTGTGGAAGACCCGGAAGAGGCTCCTGGCTCCTGGCTTTGGATTGGCTCAGCTCTGGCTGTTGTGGCCACTTGGGGAGTGAATCAGTGGACAGAAGATCTTCCTGTCTCTCTTCCTCTCTGTATATATGACTTTCCAATAAAAAAAAAAGTATCTGTGGAAAAGGAAATATCATTTCTGTGTTTAGACTGACACAGTACACTACTGTCATTTTTAATAATGAGCCATTCTTGATTTGATAATTGCTGCTTAATGCAGTGTGTGGGGTTATACTCCCATTTTTTTCTAATTTTGTAGCACTTTTGTGCTTTTGTGTTTTTCAGACCTATAGCTAGGCTACTGCGCTAGGCCCTCTACAGATTCTTAAAACTTTAAAATTCATCATTCAGACATTTAACCAATGCTTAATAAAAGGGAGATTTCTTTTTTTCTAAATTTTATTTTATTTATTTTTACTGTAAAGGCAGATATATTAGAGAGGAGGAGAGACAGAGAGGAAGATTTTCTATCCGATGATTCACTCCCCAAGTGGCCACAACACAACAGCTGGGGCTGAGCCAATCTGAAGCCAGGGGCCTGGAGCTCTTCTGGGTCTCCCACGTGGGTGCAGGGTCCCAAGGTTTTGGGCTTTCCTTGACTGTTTTCCCAGGCCACAAGCAGGGAGCTGGATGGGAAGTGGGGCAACCGGGATTAGAACCAGCGCCCATATGGGATCCCAGCGAGTGCAAGGCAAGGACTTTAACCACTACGTTACCGTGCCGGGCCCGAGGTGGTTGTTTCTTTAACATTGAGGGATTGACCTCAGTTTAAAAGTAAATACAGTAATTTCTTGTTATCCACAGTTCCAAATTCCTGGCTTTTGTTTGGCCTAGCTGTTGGATTATTTGTGGAGTGAACCAGTGAATCAAAGATCTTTTTCTTTTTATTTCAACTTACTTCAGATAAATAAAAATACACGAACAAAAGTGCAAAAGGTTCTGCGGTCAAGAACTTATTAAAAAGTAACAGAGGTGAGCATTTCCTTGCAGTCCTTGACACTGCCTGGGACACCTGCTTCCCCCACTTAGTGCGTGGTTCCAGCCCCACTCCGGCTTCCGGCTTCCGGCTTCCGGCTTCCGGCTACGAGCTCCCTGGGAGGCAGCAGGTGATGGTCAAGTGCTCCTGTTCCCCACATAACCCACACCGGAAGCTCAGGCCGAGTTCCAGGTTCTGTGCATTGGCCTGGTGTAGCTTGGCTGGTGTGGCAATCTGGGAGGGGAAGCAGCAAATGGAAGGTCTTGTGTCAGTCGCTCTTTAAAATAAATAAAAATAGATTTTAAGATGATACATTTACTATGTTAATGAATTCATTAGTTAAAATTGTTTGCATGGTTACTGTGTCCATCGTGTCATTCCTTTATTATACTCTAACCTGGCTATTTTGTTCATTTAAAAATAAAAGTCCAGAAATTTAAACAGATGAAGGTGTAGTGACAGAGAGGGAGAGAGAAAGAGACCTTCAATTGCTGGTTCATACCACAAATGGCCACAGTGGCCAACGTTGGACAAGAGTGAAACTAGGAGCCCAGAATTCCACCCTATCCTTGCTGCCGGTGGCAAGGCCAAGTCCGGGGCCATCTTGTGCTGCCTTCTCAGGCGCAGTAGCAGGAGGCTGCGTCAGAGCTAGAAGCAGCACTCCAGGAATGGGACACAGGCGTAAGAAATGGCTTAGCAACATGTGAAAAATTGGTAACACTATGATACTGCCTTGTCTACTTAGAACTGAATCGTCTGCATTCAATTTGAGATGTGCATTTCAGAATTGTAAAACTGAAAGCAGCTTGTTCATGAACTGGTTTTCTACCGAAATTATTAATGCTTTCTCTTCCTGTTTCTAGCTTGAGCAATTTCGGACCCTGCTTTTCACCTCTGAGGGGGAAAAAGAGAAACGAATGGTGGACAACTTCCGCCCCCTTCAGCCTCTAATGAATCGTACTGTTCGCTCATCCTTCCGTCATGATTATGTGCTGAACAGAAAGGCAAGAGCAAGCCGAGAGACCCCCTCCGATGTTCATATGTAGGCAGCATTTGGCTTTAGGACATACTAGCTTTTAAAAACTCCCCAAGGAGACCATTTTAAATGCCTGCATTTAGTATTTCCAGAAATACTTTTTTTGCCATTTCAAAGTTATTTTCCATCTGATTTTAGGTAAGGGAGACAGAAGACAGAACAATAGAAGACTGACTGGTTTACATCAGATTACCTTTAGGTTGCTTTTTTGTGGGAGGTGAAAAGCTTAAGACAAGGGGAAGTTCATTATCATGCCCATTGGAACCTTTCGCTGTTATCTCTCTAAATCTTAACTTCTCTGAAGAACAGATGAATAACTTACTCTCAGCTTGGTGAAGCACTTTAGTGTATGTTACTCCATTTTGTTTTTCGCCTGGTCTCCTGGGACCTAGTCCAGAGCTTAGTCCAAAGCAATGCGCAAGGCAGCTGTTAAACATTTCTTCAAAGAAGATGTACAAGGGACAAATGAAAAGTTCCTTGATAATAATAATTGTTATGAAAAGGCAAATCAAAACCACAGTATGATATCATCATGATGCACCATCAGAAGAACAAAAATTACCAAGTGAAACAGAGAAATTGAAACTCTTCTGCACTTCAGGGTGTGAATGTAAAATGGTGTGAACATGATGCAAACAAAATAGAGGTTCCATAAAAAAGTAAAAGTTGAATTACCATTTGATTCAGCAATCCCACTTTTAGGTATATATCCAAAACAATTCAAAGCAAGAACTTGAAGAAATACTTGTATGCCTATGATCATAGCAGAATTATTTATACAGTTAAGAGGTAGAAGTGGGCCCAGCATAGTAGTCTAGTGGCTAAAGTCCTTACCTTGCATGCACCAGGATCCCATATGACCGCTGGTACATATCCTAGCTGCTCCACTTCCCATCCAGCTCCCTGCTTATGACCTGGGAAACCAGTAGACCATGGCCAAAGCCTTGGGACCCTGTACCTGCGTGGGAGACCTGGAAGAAGCTCCTGGCTCCTGGCTTTGGATCAGCTCAGCTACAGCTGTTGCGGCCACTTGGAAAGTGAACCAGCAGATGGAAGATCCTTCTGTCTCTCCTTCTCTCTGTAAATCTCTTTCCAATAAAGTAAACAAATGTTTTTTTAAAAGAGGTATAAGTAACCACAATGTCCATTTGCAAATGAATGGATAAAGAAAAATGTCTACACACATATGCATATCCACATAGGAATATCATGTGGTCCTTAAAAAGGAAGCCCTATCAAAGGTACAATGTGGATACACCTTGAAAACATTGTCCTTTAAGTAACAAGCTTATTGCAGAAGGACATAAACTGTATGATTCCATTCCTATGAGGATATGATGTTTAGTTGGTACAGTTTCAGTATTATGTACTAAAAAAGTTCTAGAGATTGCTAATATGAATGTATTTAACACACTTAAGATGGTTAATATGCTGAATTGCAAAGAATTAAGATGATATTTTACCACAATTAAATAGAAAATTCAGCAGAAAAAAAAAAGATAGGACTTGAACTGTGTGTGCAAATTTGGGTGAAATATCTTCTTTAAAATAGGGAGAGTAAAGGTTCTTCCATGTATGCCTTGGGAAATGCATACAATTCTTAAAAAGATAAGTATGACAAAAAAGTTTATGTTGCCTTTATGCAGTTTATCTGTTTAAAATTAGTTAACTAAAAGGGTAAATACATAAGAGTGTTCCTCCTAACTCTCTCATACACTCCTAGTTCCTTTGGAAGTGAATCTTCAAAATTAGAACAAGTATCAATATACTGGATGTCCGATTTGCCCTTCTATCTTACAGATAGAAAGGAAGTCATTATGGGGTAACTGTATCTTAATACAACACTTGTAATTTGCAGATACCTGGAGTTGTGCTTTAATTGGAACAGCACTTTCACTCTCAACCATGTCCTAGTTTGCATGATGAACTCGTGGTCACCTTCCCTGTAGAAGTTACGGAAAGTGCCTTGAGGTTGTGGTTCCTTCTGTCACACCAAGGGGCCCTGTAGATCCCCTCAATCCTCATAGCCCTTATCAAGAAACATTCTATGTTTTTAGTTCAGATATTTGAAAGGCTGAGTGATAGAGGAAGAGGCAAGGGAGGAGAGAGAAAGAGACACACAGAAGCAGACAGACACGCTGCTTGCTTGGTTCACTTCCCAAATGGGAGGAGCCAGAAACTCCAGCTAGGTCTCCCACATGGGCAGTCATGGCCCAAGAACTTAGCTATCACTTCTTGCCTCTCAAGATACATCAGTAGAAGTGCAGTAGCCATGAGTTGAACTGGCACTTGGATATGGAATGCGGGTGCCCCGAGCAGTGCCTTAACCTGTAACTTCCTTTTCCTTGTCATAATGGCAGTGTTAAGCCAGAACTTGACACTGGTGGATTTCTGAAATACTCAAAAGGATTTACTAAACTGTCACACATGTTAGCCAGAGAAAGGGTTAGATTTTGGGAAAAAATTCCCACAATTTCAAGCAACAAGGCTAGATGGCTGTTGGTAAAAAAAGTCTGCTGGACTCATAGCTAAGAGTATTTTTAGGACTGAAATGTGGGGTCAGGAAAGCCGATTTTGTTTCCATTGAACCCACACTGGTTATAGCTAGAGGGATACGGCAAAGCAGGGAGAGCTTTGGCGTAGAAGGCAGGCCATAGAAGTCATCACCACTTCTGGATTGGCTAGGGCTAACAGTCTGGAAAATGTGTGTGGAAACCAGCTGCTGTGGGTACAGTGGTGGCTGTGGCAGTGTAAGTCAAGGTTTTGGCAAATGTGAAATATCATGTTGTTGGTTTCATTTGTAGCCATCAACTGGTTCACTCCCCTATCTCCTTCCCCTTCTGTCATCCTTTATCCCTTGTAAATGGATTTAGAACAACTTACAATTGCTCGAAGGCAGAAAGTGGCCTTAAGTCTGTCAAAGGTGTGAAGAAAGAAATTTGTATTTACATAGCTGCTCATCTTCATTAGATAATGCTAGATTAATAAATTTCTTTACAATATTAATGGTTGGTGACTATCTTTTCCTTTTTGTTGTCTTGAAAATGAAGGGATCTGAAAAATTATCAAGATATCTTTTAACATGTAGATCAGAAAGGGAAACTAGGACCCCAAAGATTGCTTTGAATACAGGTTCCTTTCCTTAGCTTAAGATTTCCTTAACCAGCTTTTGTTAGTAAGAAGGTAGACATTAGCAAAAGGGAGAAGGGAAAAAGACAAAAATTTCCTATGGGGAGTTCGACCTTGGTGGCTCCAGTGACAGTGGCCCTCTGCAGTGGTGGTGATCTGCTTGCGGAAAGTACCCGGCCCAGGTTGGACCCAATGCCCAGGACTTGGCCCATGGGCACCGTCACCACACTGTGACTGAATCCTAAACCTTGGGCTGCCAGTGCATCCATAGGGTGCCAGGCTCTGCCTGTTGGCCACCTGGCAGCAACCTCTAGGGTTTTTAGGGTATGTAATTGCTGCCCAGGGACATCCAGGGATAAGGCTAGTGTGAATGTAGGTGAGAGATGAATTCTATGTGATTCCTAGCGATGGGGCCACGGAACTTGCTTGCAAGCATGGGGACTGAGATCTGAGGGTTTGGAGGGGAGAGTCCATAAGCTCTATTTGGGCCAAACTAATTCATTAAGCCACATGAAAATCCTGAGATGGGCTGCTAGCACAGAGCATCACTGACTGCCACACACCAGTCCACACCAAAGCTATGGATGGGTGCCTGTCTGGCAAGGCTAGGTACCAGTACCTGACTGATTGGTGGAACAGTGACAGGTCACACTTGGCAGGGTCAAGACACTAACCAACACGCAAGAGAACCAGATCCGGGAGTAGATTCTGTGGGGGAAGTGTGGGCCCAACACTGCAGAGATTTAAGTCCCACTGGTTAGCTTGTGAGTTGGGGTGGTGATGGGCTGAGCTAGGTCTGACCATGGAAACTGCCATCACCTCTAGGTAAAGGAACCAACAACAGTCTGGGCAGGTCAAGGCAGCAGCACCTAAATGTGCATCCTAAAACAGAATGTGGAGTAGGCCAAGCTGCAACTGGAAGGGGGTGGACTGGGCAGGGATGAGCAAACCTTAACTCACAAGGAAGAACAGAAATCAGGATGGAGCACAGTTCATGCCAAGCTAGGCTCTTACACCAACTGGTCTGCATGAGCCAGGGATGCTAGGCCACAGCATCGAAGGCAAAGGCCAAGACAGGTGAGAGGCTATGCCAAGCTGGGTCAGAGCAACCACTGTCATGCATGCGATCTATGGTTGGGAACAGGCCCAATTGGGGAGATTAGAAGACACCCTAACTGGGTTGGGGCTCCCACTGGTGAGTGTGGGAGCTGGAATGGGGACTGCGTTTTGGTCTGGACATGGCTGCAGTCTCCCTTGGCACAAGCGTCAACTGGGATTGGATGCATCAGGCTGGGCTAGACTTCAGCACCATCTCGTGCTCTGGAGAACCAGGGTAGACGTAGGATGGACTAAGCTAGGTCTCTGCCCTACTGAGCCATGAATGAGCCATGTCTGGGTATGAACGAGCTTTGGCTGGGCTGAAACATCCAACAGTAAGAACCGGAATGGGTTGAAGGCCAGGCCACTGTTCCTGCTAGGACAGAAGATGGACTAAGCAGGACTGGCTCACAGGCCCGCCGGTATGCATGAGATCTGGCATTGGGAGAGGTTCTAATGGAGAAGCCTGGGCAACTCCTCTGGCAGGACACAGTCCCTGCAGGTGAATGCAAGAACCACGATAGAGAGCACCCCAGACAAGACCAGGGAGATATACCCACTAGCCTACATTTGGCATTGGTTGGGGGTAGACCAGGCTGAACTAGTTCATATCAACTGCTGGGGAATCTGAGCACCAGAACAGAGCATGGGTCGGGCCAGGCTCGGTTGCAGCACATACCAGTGAACATTATGGCTGGGATTGGATGCCTGCTGGGCTGGGCTGGTTTAGGCTATAACCCTCACCAGCGTCAGCTGGAATTGGGGGTGGGATGGGCCGGGCCAGGCTACAACACCCACTGGGAAATGCCAAGGTGAGGTGGGCTATACCAGACTGGGCCACAGCATCCAACCAGCACACATGCAAGCCAGGGAGGAAAGGGGCAAAGCCAGCAGGGGGAATGTGGGCTCCCCTGCTGGACAGCCACTCTCACTGGAGAGCGTGAGTTGGGATGGGGGTAGACCAGACCAGGCAGAGTTACAATACCTGTGGGCCTCATGAGAGCTAGATCAGGGAAAAGCCAGGCTTGGCTGATTGTTCCTACTAGCATAAGCATAAGTTAGAGTGGGTGAGGGTTGGTTGGGCTTTGCTGCAGCATCAGCTGGCACAGGCTGGTACTGGGGGCTAATTCTGTCA